CTAATCAGGATGAGGTCTTGTGCATAATACTGCAAGCAAGACAACTGACAAGCCACAGGGCATGCACACTTCTGAACACCCAACTTTACTATAAAAAGAAAGAAAGAAAGAAAGAAAAAAAAAAGTCAATGGTTAATGGTTAATGGCTGAAACAAATAAATGTGCTAGACATCAAAAGTTATATAGCACAATGGTAAAGTATTTAGAATAAAATGTGGTAGATATCAAAGATTAGAGAGCGTTACAGGATAGTGTGATTGGTTAAAGGGAAAAGAGGGGGTGCAAATGAAGTAAATGAGATTGGTTAAGAAAAGGACATACAATGACTGACTGAAAAGGATTGTATCTGTGGAGGGGAAAGCTATAGGAACATTGTTTAAGGATAACTAGCAAAAGAGCCATTATGAAACTATCGATGGGTAATCTGGGTAGCGATGGCTGTTGGAGAAGTAGCAGGAGAAGAATCCTGGGGATGAGATAAGGGGTCTGGAGAAGGTGATGAAGTATCAGGCCCACACAGGCCCGGGACAGATGGCCTGGGCCTTGGAAGGCCACTAGGGGGACACCAGCTTGGAGGCTGATATCCCCTGGCCCGCTTAGCTCCCAGTTTGCATGGCCACATATTGCTCCAAGGGATCAATTGCACTTTACATCATATGATGCCATCTGCGTACATTGGGTTAATATAAATAGAGAGCATTGGCCTTTTGATCACCATGCTATAACGCTGCATCCAGAACTCATCTTCTTGCTTGTCCAGACAAGTTAGACAATATGTTTTGAATGTTTGGAACCTCTACTTTCTCATCCTGGACAAATTACCTATCTTGTTCATCTCGCCCTCTTTTGCAGATGGGCAAGCAGAACGGTCAATATGAATAACAGGGTAGTAGCTTACTTTCAAAACAATTTTGAAATTAATCTGCAGGAAATCCACTGATGTCAAAGATTCTTGGCACTGTTTCTTTTGCAAATGATTCACTGTGGAGATTTAAGTACCATTTCCATCAACAATCTTGATAAGTTAGTCCCAATAGCAGGGGAGGGCATGAAGTATATTAGGGAAATTATGGGGTAAAACAGGCTTAAATAAGAAAAACAGCACAAAAATACATAAAAACAGCAGAGAAATCGCTAAAAATAGGGCAACGAAACTCTACGGACATGTCCACCATCTTTGAAAGTCTACGCAGAGATGCACCAAAATTTGAAAAACTCTACAGGAATCCAACCCATCTTTGTAAAATCTATGTGATTTCACACCTTCCAAACCCCTAAAATATGTCTTGACCCATAACTCAACCTAATCTATCAATTTAAATTGCCGTGACTACTGCCCAAAGGGAGGGTTAATGGGGGTTCTGCCTCCAACACCCCCCAGGACACATTCTCTTCATCTCAGTATGTACGGTACGTTAGAGCTACAATCATACTGTAAAGAATAAACCAAATACCTTTATATATCAAAACACCAAACTGTTCAACTTTCCTTCACTTCTCTCTACTGTGTGGATCACTTCATTTCTAATTATGGTATCTCTTACAGAGACTAACAATCTTGATTTGTTAGTCCTGTTAGGAGTGGAGGACATGAAGTATATCAGAGAAATTATGGGGTAAAACAGGCTTATATAAAAAGAATAACAATAAGAAATGTATAAAACAAAGACAAAAAATGCTTTAAATCAGTCAATTAAACTCTATAGACTGACAAAAATTCAAAAACTCTACGGGAACCCAATCCATCTTTCAGCAAAACTATACGCGAACCCTTACATGTTCCATACCCCAAAAAAACGTTATGACCAATAAACCAGCCTAATGTATAAATTTCAGCTGCCTTGATAAGGCGTGCCCTTTATGCACTGCCCGAGGGGAGGGTTGATGGGGGACTCCGCCCCCCAACATCCCCCAAGAAACATTCTCTTCACCTAGGTATGTATGGCAAGATAGAGCTGCATTCACACCATAAAATAATAAACCAAATACCTTTATATCCGGAACCGTCAAAATTTCATTGATTCTTTGTACCGTCTGGATTGCTTTGATATTAATAACTTTTTTCATCATTTGGAGCTCTTGATGGGCCCAGATATTATACTGGGATGGTTACTAAAGTCTCATTATTCTTCACTTTGTTGCCACTGTACAAGTCTTAAACATAATCCAAAATCAACACAACACTGGAAAAGCAACATTTCTCACCAGCGTTCTACCTCAAAATGAGCGGGCTGGTGAGGTGTCGACCTGGGTCTGGAGAAAGAAAGTGTGAAACACTCGATGTACACGATTCTAAATAAGAGTATAGTTAAATGTTAAAATACACAAATGAAGTATAATAACATTAATAAAAGACTTTAAAAGCATGAATGTGTAACAGCAGATACTGATAATTAGCCAAATGTCATTATGACAAGCACATAGTAATACGCAAACTACTTTGGAGTTCAACATTCAGTGTTTTGTTATTCCTGGCAAGGTAGAATTTGAGCGGCGCCCA